ATTGATTAATTTATTCATTCATTCATTCACTTAATCATTCAACCAATAATTTATTCCTTTGTTCCTTCGTTCGAACATTCATTTACTACTACACTAATAAAAAATTTTGTCTACAGAATGATGAGAGGTGGGCAGTGGTGGGCGTCAGCACGTTTCAGATGGTGGTCTCATGATGTTCATTATCAAATGGTGGTCTCATGATGATCATGATGACAATTCAAAGATAACAATAACGACGATTTTTGAAGTATGGTTTAGTTTCGTTTTTTCATTTTTCTCATTCATTCATTCTATCACTCTGTCTTTCAAAATTTTCCTCCATTTTTTGATTGATTCATTTTATTTATTTATTTATTAAACCATTGATTGGTTAATTAATTAATTAGTTAATTCATTCATTTACCGATTCATTTAACCAATCATTTAATAATTATTTTATTATTATTCGTTCGTTCTTTTGTTCCTTGATTTACCAAAACGCTCATATAAAAAAAACTTGTCTACAGAATGATGAGAGGTGGGCTGTGGTGGGCATCAGCATCTTTCGGATGGTGGACTCATGATGATCGTTCCGATGACAATTCGAAGAAAACAACAACAACAATAATAATAATAAATATTAACGGGAAATTTTTTGCCGTCGTACCTTCGTACCTTAGTAAGTACTCGAATTTGAACAAACGATTGGAATGTTTTGGAGTGATTGGAGTGGATTATTGTCTCAATAAGATATGTCGCCTATTGCATGTTTTCCAATGGTTTGGTTTTTATTTTATAAAATTAATTTTTTTTCTGATTTAGGGTTTTCAAGTATCCAGTCAAATTCACGATGCGTGTCAAATGATGGTCAGTGCAATGAAGGTCCGTCCGTAGGGAAGAAGTTTCTGAAGAGTACACACGCTCACATTTACACACATATTAATACAACACACACATATACGACATCCATTTTTTGGTGTTGTCGTTGTTGTTATGTTTCTCTTCAACATGCTATTTTTTTTACCGGACTTTAATTTAATTCGTAGGTAAGTTAGGGATTGAGATGAGTTGGACAATCGTAGGTAGGCTAGGGCTTAACATTAGTTAAAAAGTTTCTAACAAAAAAAATTAAAAAAAATTAAATTACTCCAAAAAGGCAAATTAATAACGTTAAAATAAGTAAAATACAATACCTGAAACATGTAAAATTTTTAAAACTTAGAAATACAAATTTGTAGGTAGGTAAGATGAGTTAATCATTATAGGTAAGCTAGGGCCATGAGAGTAATTTTATTGTAGGTAGGTGACTGACTACTATTCTTACGACTTTTTACTATTTTTTTGTTATGTGTTAGTTTTTGCTTCACACCACCACACCAACAAAACACACTAAATTTTTTTGTCGTCGCCTTAAATTTTACTATTTTTGAACAATTTTTTTAATAATGTCTATTTATTTATTAAATGTTGACTGGTTTCTAGTTTTTTTTAATTTTGTTATATAATTTTGGTATTTCTTGATTTACTTTGAATTTTGATTAGAACTTTGTATATATGCATGTATAAATAATTTCTGTTTGGCATGTTGATTTAGCCATTATAATATGTTGTGAACTGTTCTTACTAAATGTACATGCTACGATGAAATAATTTTTTAACGGTCGATATTTCGTTATATTCGTTTGTTTAAAATCCGAACTTTTTAAAAAATTCACATTTTTTATTTTTAAATGATATCAAATAAAAGCAAAAGAGCCATGTGTCTTCTTTGCTTTATTAAAATCTCGAAATTGTTGGTAGGTATGTTCGATTGAATGTTTGTTGGCGCTCCAGCAAACTTCGCAAATATTTTTTTTAATTAATTTTTTTTTCGTTTTTTCATAATTCAATATATATATTTATTTTCGTTTTTTTATAATTCAATATATATGAAAATATATTAATGTGAGAATAAGATTTTACTCGAAATGGATTTATAGATCTGTGTGTGTAAACTGTAAAGGCGTAATCATAGCAACAGAGAAAAATACGACGATGCGTTCAATTAAAGTCATTTTTATAATGAAATTCAAATGCTTGTTAGCATTTTTTATAATAATTTCTATAGTTTGTTGTCCACATTGGCCACATAGGCACGTATATAAGGTGAGACATCAACAAAGAAACGGTTTAATATGGTTTTATTGAGTTTTATTTTAAAATAAAAATAATTTAATTGAAAGCAAGAAAGGCAGGAGAATGTAATAGTTATCACGGGATACTTTAATCTAGAAAAATTTCAAAAAGGTCTGAAACCTCTATATTATTCCAGTGAACTCTACAAACGATGGTGTTCAACATTTTCACTCCTGTTGAATCCGCTCATCGTGTACCTGGAAAGAAACAGTTCATTTGTGGAAATATTTAAAAAAATTCTGTCGAAGCACGAACCAAGCAGATACAGAATAATCGAGGTGGAAAGAGATGATTTGTGGGCATTCAAGCTGCTCCCGAACATCACAAAAATATTTTCTAAGCCCGGCTATCCCAAACATCCTCCAAATACGGTTGTTCCGGAGTATTCAGCCGTCATGCACTGCAAATACGAACTCATGAATCGATCCATCGTGGAAAATCCCTTCAAGACGAATTATTTTGCATGGCTTGATATCGGATTATTTCGGGATTTGACCCTTAGTGACGATCCGTATTATTTTGTGAAGCTCATTAACGAGACTCTCTTTTCTCAAAAGTTTTACTTGGATGTCCCAGATAACTTCGATCGCTCAAAAGTAGCATACACTGAAGTTTATGATTTATCGAAGAATATGAAACCATGCGATATTGTTAATGAAAATATGGTTTGGGTGTGTGGTTGTTACTTTGTAGGGGGAGGAGAGGTTCTGTTGAGATGGTGCGGTGAGTATATGAGGGCTGTTGAGGAAATGATCGGTCAACATGACTGTGTGAGCACTGACCAACAGGTCATCTACTGGCTCTTCAGCAACAGAAAAAATTTAAAGGTATCTACATCCATTCAAACTTATACAAACATGTCTTCAAATGTTGATCCATGGTTCTATTTGGGTTACTTGAGTAGACGAAAATATAAAACTTAGTAAATTGTAAGCCATTTTTTTTTTACAAAGAAGTAGTACTTATAAAACCTTTGAAAAAATGTAAATTTGTTAATTCGTGTTTTTAAATTATTGGGACTAATTATTTTAATCCAATATGACTGGAGTA